TACTGACAGGAATCTTAAAATATGTAGGCCAAAAGTCAAGGACCGTATGTTTAAGTTATTTAGCAACATATCTGAATCCCAGAGTTGTACAAACAGAACATAGTAGTAGCCATGCCAAAAATTGAAGGCGCACATACGAGAAAGATAGAATAACAAAGGCGAAAGAATTATTAGAAGACCAATTTGAGTTTAGAACCAGTGATGTCCCTACTTAATAAGACGGAAAGCGATAGAAAAATACTGCAAAATGTAGGGATGAGATACAGAGATAGAAGAGTGATATACAACTTACATACGTTGATTTTTGATATCTAGAAAGTCAGATAGTACAACATGGAAGGAGCGACAATGATATAAAACAAAGAATAACGCAAAGTCGAACAGCCATTAGCAAAAAGAAGTCAGTTCTACACTTCACTTCACTCGCGAACAGTTAATTAAAAAAATAGTGTTAAAGGTATGCTTATGTTTGGAGCATGGATATGGATGGTAGGTATAACTGAAAAGAAGAGGTTAGAATCGTTTGAAATGTGGTGGTACATGCGAACGAAGAAGATTTCGTGGTTAGAAGAGACTAAGAGTGAGAAAACATTAAAATGAGTAGGAGAATGATATGGAATTTACCCACAACGAAATTTATTCTCAGAATCACAAGCACAGGTCTTCCCAATACGTCACTACCCTCATTACTTTTGCCCATCTACATGAATTACCCCTTGTTACCACCAAAAATATAGTTAACAAGTCTATCTATCTATTTTATTTTATTTCACCAACGTTTTTGTAATTTTTGGTTTTTTGTCTCTAGTTTTCCTTTCCAATTGGTTGTAGTTTCCTGTTATGTTCCTTCCTTTTTTTAAATACCATTGATGTATTTTCTTTTTCCTACTAATCCATCTAAATAAGAAGGAAATTATTGAAGTAGGTACCTAGCGAATATACATTTATTTATTAATTTAAGAAACAGAATTTAAATTAAAGGTATATTCAAGATAAATATTACAGAATTAGTAATACATTGACATATTCAGTACATTTCAAATTTATGGTAAAGAAATTTATTTGATTATGCACACTTGTTGCTTTTGCAGCAGCCTGGATAGGGTTTTGACAAGTCCTTTGCCGATTTACATTTTTTTCCATGTGGTCCTTGGATTATAATAGAAGGACATCTTAAATTAAAAGAAAATGGCAAAAATAATTGTATGAATTCGTACTTATATCACAAAAAGATTGGCATGTCACTATGTATTGACACGGTCAAATACGTGGAATGCGGAAGTGAAGAACGAAATCCATGGGCTACGGAATAATATAGGCACAAGGTATAAACCAAAATGGAGGAGACCATACAGAAGATCTGGAATTCTTCGCCTAAATGCGTGAAAAATTATGAGTAGAACTGACAAATTGTTCTCTTTGGTTGTTTTCGGAATGGATTGTAATATATTAATGAGTATTTAAGTTCATCGTAATTAAATAACGGAGAGGCGCATGGGTGCAGCCAATAAACTAAAGGCACAAGTGTCTGAACACCACCCATTCTCCTTCCCCTGAATGACTTCACCCTCCTCGTCTATAATCGCACTTTCTACTACGTCCCTTTACTGTTCCGTGTTCCATGGGCCAAACGAATAATATATGTAAGTACATACCCATAGCTTATATACTGTGGATACTGGCATGTATATAAACGGCATCTTTTGGTTACGAATCCTTTGTTCGGAATCTTTAAGTTTATATTTTTGATGTAACACACGCCAGGAGGGCCTAACCAAAAATAAGTTACGTTAACATAGTCTGTGTGCGTATAAGTTTTGTGTATACTTCATTTACTTTCTCTAGCGATGTGCCCCTTCCAATGTCTTGGATGCGCGCTGGAAAAATCGTAGGTAAGGAGAAAAAAGCTCATTATACTCTCGACTCTNCTAAGGAACAATTGAACCCTATTCGATAAAAATTAATTTAGCGAAGTCTATTTTTTAGGATATTACGGCCGAATATTTTCTATCTGTGGTCTTGTACTTGGAACAGTATGAGCAATAAATGACTTATGTGATTATTAAATTTTTAATAATCAACATACACTTAAACTAACACAAAAAAAAACACTAAATAACTATAACGAATAAACTACTGATGAACTGATTAGATGAACTTAATGGTTGTAAAACTTTGATAATTAATTGAAGATGTTACCTGAAGATAGTTCTTCATATCAATATCAGTCTGCATGGGTCATCACGAAGCGGTCACTCAGCAGGGGCAAATGATTTATAGACTCGACAGGAAAATCACAGATATCAAAAAAACATAAACAGTTACTGTTCCGTTCGCAATTAATAATGATTTTTTCAATTACTCACCCGGGGGATTTCTTCCCCCTAGCTCCCACAGGATCTGTCATAACAACCAATTCATATTCAAGATATCTGAATTACCATTTGTCTACTTTTCTTCGACGACTAGCTAGTATCAACCTAAAATAAGTAAAGGCTTCCTTGGACACCCAGCCATCCGTAGATGTTAGCATCCCAGTGACCAGTTCGGAACCCAATCACGTCATTCGAGTAGCTTGTAGCACCCCTTGAACTACGAGTAACCCCACTCGAAGGAACCACGGGCCTTGCCGGGCAACAGTGCACTCAAAAGGGTGACACGCTTGCGTTTTACTCTCAATTAATATCGCTCTCGACTGTTCAGAAGCCAGTCATTACTCTTTTATTTTCAACGGCTTACTGCTTATTTATAGGTTTACAGTTCTTTCGCTATCGGTCTGCCCAATATCAGCAATACAAACAATATAAACAATTTTGGCCTCACTTGCTCATAATCATTATATACATCAGAGCCGGGCAAACTTTAACTTCGCAGGAGCCGCTAGATGAGGTTAGTTTGAGTCACTCCATAAAATTTTCGTTACTACGTTCGCAAAACTATTGGGTTTGGCTATGGAAGAGGGGACTCACCTACGAAATGGAAGGGATAAGAAAAGGAAAGAATCATCTCACTCGCACTCGCAGGATCAATGAGGAGCTACTTGGTTAACTTTGAGGAGTACTCGGGATGCAAAAGATCCGAGTTTGCCCGGCTCTGATNAATTCAGGTAAATGTGCAACTACCTTTTGGCAAAACCCAATTACCTGAACGATAGTGATACATACAACTTTTGGTAAATATACTGCTAGAAAGTTTAAATATAAATACACTATTACTTACACAAGTCATAACAATGACTTTAAGTGACAATGAAATCAATTTTATTGTACACTGTGTCTGAAACTAAATATTCATGAAAGTATTGATTGTTTTTGAACATAATTTATAATGCGTTTTCTCGTTTTACCACAAACAAGAAATAACAGACGACCCAAGGAGACTCGCATCTCTAAAGTACAGAAATTGAATCCAGTTACAGATAAATTCTATATATACACATCCACATTTTGATAGAAAATGAAGAAAAGGCGGATAAGTGGAAAGAATATTTAGAGAATCTATACGCAGATTAGGAGATGTATTATAGAACAAAGACAGTGTAGATATAGAGATGAAGTAGGATATACCGTAATGACGGATGAGTTTTACTTATAGATAGCATTAAAAAACTTAAAAGGATAAAAAGGCACCAGCTATAGGAAAGGGTACTGACAGCAATCTTAAAATATGTAGGCCAAAAGTCAAGGACCGTATGTTTAAGTTATTTAGCAACATATCTGTATCCCAGAGTTGTACAAACAGAACATGGTAATAGCCATGCCAAAAACGGAAGGCGCAGATACGAGAAAGATAATAAAAAGGCGGAAGAATATTTAGAAGACCAATTTGAGTTTAGAACCAGTGATGTCCCTACTTAATAAAACGGAAAGCGATAGAAAAATACTGGAAAATGCAGGGATGAGATACAGAAATAGAAGAGTGACATAACAACTTACATACGTTGATTTTTGATATCTAGAAAGTCAGATAGTACAACATGGAAGGAGCGACAAAGTATAAAGCAAAGAATAACGCAAAGTCGAACAGCCATTAGCAAAAGCAAGTCACTTCACTCGCGAACAGTTAATTAAAAAAATAGTGTTAAAGGTATGCTTATGTTTGGAGCAAGGATATGGATGGTAGGTATAACTGAAAAGAAGAGGTTAGAATCGTTTGAAATGTGGTGGTACATGCGAACGAAGAAGATTTCGTGGTTAGAAGAGACTAAGGGTGAGAAAACATTAAAATGAGTAGGAGAATGATATGGAATTTACCCATTACGAAATTTATTCTCAGAATCACAAGCACAGGTCTTCCCAATACGTTACTACCCTAATTACCTTTGCCCATCTGCCTGAATTACCCCTTGTTACCACCAAAAATATACTTAACAACTCTATCTATCTATTTTATTTTATTTCACCAAAGTTTTTGTAATTTTTGGTTTTTTGTCTCTAGTTTTCCTTTCCAATTGGTTGTAGTTTCCTGTGATGTTCCTTCCTTTTTTCAAATACCATTCTTGTATTTTCTTTTTCCTACTAATCCATCTAAAAAAGAAGGAAATTATGGAAGTAGGTACCTAGCGAATATACATTTATTTATTAATTTAAGAAACAGAATTTAAAGGTATATTCAAGATAAATATTACAGAATTAGTAATACATTGACATATCCAGTACATTTCAAATTTATGGTAAAGAAATTTATTTGATTATGCACACTTGTTGCTTTTGCAGCAGCCTGGATAGGGTTTTGACAAGTCCTTTGCCGATTTACATTTTTTTCCATGTGGTCCTTTGATTATAATAGAAGGACATCTTAAATTAAAAGAAAATGGCAAAAATAATTGTATGAATTCGTACTTATATCACAAAAAGATCGACATGTCACTAAGTATTGACACGGTCAAATCCTTTTCTGTTTTCATTACGTGGAACGTGGAAGTGAAGAACGAAATCCATGGACTACGGAATAATATAGGCACAAGGTATAAACCAAAATGGAGGAGACCATACAGAAGATCTGGAATTCTTCGCCTAAATTCGTGAAAAATTATTTCGGAATGGATTTCAATATATTAATGAGTATTTAAGTTCATCGTAACTAAATAACGGAGAGGCGCATGGGTGCAACCAATAAACTCAAGGCACAAGTGTCTGAACACCACCCATTCTCCTTCCCCTGAATGACTTCACCCTCCTCGTCTATAACCGCACTTTCCACTACGTCCCTTTACTGTTCCGTGTTCCATGGGCCAAACGAATAATATATGTAAGTACTTACCCATACTTTACATAATCTGGATACTGGCATGTATATAAATTGCATCCCTTATAAACGTATCCTTTGTCCGGAATCTCTAACTTTATTTTTTTGAGGTAACACACGCCAGGAGGGCCTAACCGAAAATAAGTTATGTTAACATAGTCTGTGTGCGTAAAACTATTTATACTTTCAGGATAGATTTATTTTAATACAAGGTCAGTTTTAGCTAAACAAAGTTACGTATCAAATCTAATAGCTGTTATAGAGGGCATCAAACTTTTTGATGATTTTCTTTACGAAAGCATGATTGAAGTCGTTATTGACTATTTTCATCACTGGTGAGCGAATATTAACAAGACACTTTAGACACACATCTAATATAAATAAGAATAACAATTTTGTTACTAAAGCTACCATCTATCTAAATCTGCAACTATAGTTCTAAAACTATTACTGCTTAACATAATTGAATTAATAAATAATAAACTACGTATCTTTTAGGGACTGAATATAACAAAAGTGGCAATTTATTGAAATACAATTTTTTCCTTACCTACTTTTGGTAGTACAAATATCGATTCTTACCATCATCGGATTTTCCTCCAATTATATCAACTGATTCTATTTCGCTTAAGCAAAACAGCACGTACAGCAAAAATATGCGTAACAGTAAAATTTTCATTGTACAACTTTTCTGTTCAATACTGACGATGTAGCTATAGAAAAGGTTGAGCACGTGTTTATATATAAACGAGGTATCGCTGTTTGGATTTTAATGTACCTAAGTACAATGTTTAATTTTGTCAATAAATACAATTGTATTCTATATATTAAATTTAATGTGCTATACGTTAAAATTAATGTACCGAACTTTAAAATTAATGTACAATAAAAACTATAGTTAGTGCAGAATGTAGAAAATTTTATTGCACACTAAATAAGTTCAAATCTGTTGTTCAACTATTCCACTTCTTTTTTCAGTTATTGTTGAATGTTGCGGGTGTGTTGCTGGCCTAGATTTTTCCTAAGGAGCACTTGAACCCTGTTCGATAAAAATTAATTTAGCGAAGTCTATTTTTTAGGATATAACGGCCGAATATTTTCTATCTGTGGTCTTATACTTGGAACAGTACGAGCAATAAATGACTTATGTGATTTTTAGATTTTTAATAATCAACATACACTTAAACTAACACCACAGTCGTCTTTAATACAAGCACAGCCGTCTCTAATATAAGTCATGCTGAGAAATTTGGCAACAGCGCATTGCTTCGATGTGAGAGTCCTATTCTGCGAGTCTTACTTGTTATTACTACACGTCGTTACACATAATTTTTAGACACCCATTACGATAAAAATGAACTATATTATTAAATAACTAACATTTGTTCATCACTGATAGTATGTGACGTTATTTAAAATACACTTCAACATGTAGGTATTAAGAACAAAATAGAAAAGACAATAGATTAGGTGTAAACATTGTTAGGTACCTACATGAATTTCATCTCGATAATTGTAATTTTATTAAAGCAAATTTCCACACCACAATTGAAGTATTGCCAAGGCGCGTTAGCTTTTTTTGGGGTTCACCAATAGCCCTGCCATCCCATTAGAAAAAACTAATTACAATT